TAGACTAGCGCATGTACATAGGTATAGGCAAGAGATAAAACTCACAACACATGGAAGCCAGGAACAGGATTGGGAATAGAGATACCAAAAGGGGAGGAGTGAGAGAGAGAGGGAGGGGAGCACCGATCGCAATGAATGGCACATAACCACACACCCCCATCCAGGGGGAAGAACAACAGAAACCAGAGGGGAAGGGAGACAGTGGTCGGTGTGAGATTTGAAAATAATTAACAATCTACAATCTATCAAGGGGCCACGAGGGGTGGGGGGCAGGGAGAAGGGAGGGGGAAAAAAAGAGGAGCTGATCCCAAGGGCTCAATGGACAGTAAATGTCTAGAAAAGAACGATGGAATATATGTACGAATATATCGGATACAATTGATGTATGTATTGTAACAAGAGTTGTAAGAGCCCCCAATAAAAAGATTTTAAAACACCCTAAAAAACTATTTCTAAAGGTATGATAAAGAACCAACGGTACTGAAAGAAGGCCAAGCTGTACTGAAGGCATTAGCAAAAGACAGGGCTCCAGGAATAGATGGAATACCAATTGAACTGTTTTAACGAGCGAATATGAAGCACGGGGGCATTTACTCACCCGTGACAAGAAATCTGGAAGACAGCTACCTGTTCAGGCCCCTGGAAGATATCTACATTTGTACTCACTCCAAAGAAAGGTGACCCCACCGAATGCTCAAATTATAGAACCGTATCATTAATAACACACGCAATTAAAATTTTGCTAAAGATCATTCAACAAAGGTTGCAGAAGCACATCACCAGGTCGTTGACAGAAATTCGATTTGGATTCAGACGATGTGGAACAGGATGTCAGCTGCAAGAAGAATGGGAATTCCAGAACACTTCATCGTGCCCGTGCAGAACTGCACACGGGCCAAGAAGGAACTGTTTGAACAGAACAAGGGAAGACCACCTGGGTTCAAATTAAGAAAAGTGTCGATCAGGGTTGAATCCTTTCACTATACTTATTGATTCAATCTATATTCTGAGTAAGTAATCCAAGAAGGTAGGCTCTATGTGGAAGAATGGGGCATCAGGATAAGGGGGAGGCTGACTAACAACCTTCAATATGCAAATGACACACCTTACTTGCTGAAGGGAGAATTTGAAGATCAAAGATTGAAGCCTTAAATATAGATGACAACGCAACGGAAAGACAACGAAAACCAAACGGATTTCATCTTGCTTGCATCCACAATCCATGCTCACGGAAGCAGTAGTCAAGAGATCAAACCACACACTGCACTGGCTAAAATCTGCAGCATGAGACCTCTTTAAGGTCACTCTGAGGACTTGGGTACACCTGGTCCAAGCCATGGTTATTTGCAATCAACTCGAATGCACCTGAAAGTTGGACATTGAATAAAGAAGACCGAAGAATTTGAACGATGGTGCTGGAGAAGAATATTGAAAGTACCACGGACTGCTAAAAGAACAAACAAATCTGTCTTGGAAGAAGTACAGCCAGAATGCTCCTTATAAGTTAAGAATGGAGAGACTTCGTCTTGTGTACTGTGGACATGCTGTCAGAAGAGACCAGTGTCTCAAAAAGGACATCATGCTAGTAGAATAAAGGGACAGTGAGAGAGATAGACTCTCAACAAGATGGACTGACATGGTGGAGGCAACCATGGCTCAAACGTAACAACTGTGAGGAACGCACACGGCAGGGTAGTATATAATGTTGCTATGCGTCAGAACCAACTTGACTGCGCTGAACAATAACAACAAATTTTTAATTATTGATCTAAAAATAGCATTCTGACCAACTGTTAAGTGAAAATGGTACATTGGAAAAAACATTAGTCATAGCATGGTGCCATCTATAGAAAACTCTGTAAAGAAGAGTGGTATTGTAGATTAAGTGTTGGGGGCTACTAAGCTCAAGGTCAGTGGTTCAAACCCATCAGCTCCTCCGTGAGAGAAAGATGAAGCTGTCTGTTTCCATAAAGATTTACAGCTTCAGAAGCCCTAGGGAGCACTTATGGTCTGTCCTAAAGGGCTGTGAGTCAGAATTGACAGGGAAATATCAGGGAAGATGGCTTCCAGGTAATAAGCACAGGAGGACCTTCTCCTCAATAGCGAACAGAAACCAAAACTGAGTGAGAAGGAAAACCTATAATCCTTGCAAATCAGGTAAGCAACTTCAAAACTAAGTGGACCAAGTCTCTACGATTCAGTCTGTGGGAAAGGACAGAGCAAGGTGAAGGAGTTTCCAACTCCATACATGTGGAGTTTGGCAACTTCTGCTGCTTGCTACTGGCAGCCTTTGCGCACTTCCCCACTGGATTTTGGCACCACTGCACTGTCTCCCTTTCATGACTGACCAGCAGAGAAGGCTGATGCTTGCAACCCTTTATCCCTACATATATGCACTGCACCATGGGCTCCTACTGACACCCAATGCCAAGTGCCCCATCTTCGGCTCCTCCTCTCCGGTCCCTAGCCACCCTTTGGGGATAACAGAAGCAGCCAGCTCAGTTCCTCCCTCATTTCACAAGATCTTCCTTCTTCTC